GGTCGGTCGGAGAGGATTGTTGCCATCGGTGGCGGTTGGCGGGGCCGGCCGTCGGCCGAACAAAGCCCGAGATAGAAAGACCAGAGGGCATAATGAAGGGAAGGGGTGGAGCGGAATCCGAAATGACCCCGGGAGGGGAAGGGCGTGGGGGAGGGGGAGGGGGGCGACGGGGATGTTGGTAGATCCATTGAAACGCGATTAGCCGGGTGGGGGAAGCAGGCGAAGCAAGAAGGAAGGGCAGCCTCCTCTGTTGCTCCTTGCAGGACCTTGCTGCAGCAGACTGATTCCGAGAGTCGTTTTCGTCGCTCTGTCGCTCTCGCACCTGCACGGGACGCCCCATGAGTGCGGGTGAGACAGAGCGACGAAAACGACTCTCGGGAATCAGGCCGCTGGCCACCGTGATGGCGGTCTTGGCCTGCTTGCCCTCCAAATGAAGGTCTCTCTCTATGTCTCTCTCTATGTCTCTCTCTCTCTATCTCTCTCTCTCTCTCTCTCTCTCTATGTCTCTCTCTCTCTCTCTATGTCTCTCTCTCTCTCTATGTCTCTCTCTCTCTCTATGTCTCTCTCTCTATGTCTCTCTCTCTATGTCTCTCTCCTATGTCTCTCTCTCTCTATGTCTCTCACTCTGTGTCTCTCCTCTATGTCTGTCTGTCTGTCTGTCTGTCTGTCTGTCTGTCTGCCTGCCTCTCTCTCTCTCTCTCTCTCTCTCTCTCTCTCTCTCTCTCTCTCTCTCTCTCCTCTCTCTCTCTCTCTCTCCTTGGCCCTTGGCGCCAACGCCACTCACGCTGCACACCTGCAGCTGGCCGGCCAGGCCCTTGGCCAGGCCTGCAGGGCGGTAGATGGATGGATTGCCGCCTTGCAGGCCTGGCGGCCCCTAGGCGCCGGAACCAGCCGGAACTCATGAACACTCGCACCTGTGCAGCAACACCTGACCGCCGCTCCGCCGCCCGGCAGCACCGCCACCGAGCGAGCACCGCACAGTGGGCCAGAAGACCGGCGCAGGCGGCCAAAACTCTATACTCTGACCAGAAAACGAAGAGCCCTGAGTTCTCGCGGTTTATGGCATCTGCCGCCTTGGATAGCATTGCAGGTAGCCCTCGACCGCGAGAACCCAGGACTCTTCGTTTTCTGGTCAGAGTCTGACTCTGAGTCACGCTTGAAATCAGCCTAGAAATGGCCGCCAAGTGACGACCCGAATCTTAGCAGTGTGCGTGCACTCGTCGCACGACACGAGCTTCGCAGTGACGCGTTCGAGTCGCTAAACAGGACTCGAACCGAACGTGTGACCCCACCAATGGATTCCTCGTTCGGAGAGCAATCCATTGCGGGTGGGGTCACACATCCTGTTCGAACCCCATTCAACGACCCTGGAGCTCAAAACGCGTCCGGGATTTTGACCGCCTCCACCGGTCTTCTGACCCACCGTGCACCGCGCCGTCGACATCACCAAAGAAAGCATGCCCGCTGGGGTACACTGCAAAACGACACAGTGTACCAGTGCGCCCCTACCCAATTAGCGTTTGAGCTTTGAAGCCGGGGCCCCAACAGCGCAGTCGCTTTCACTCGACGCACACAACGGTAAGGGGCCGTTCACTCATTACGTAACGTTTTTCCATAGCTCGGTCCTTGTTGCTCCTAATGCACTGCAGTGAGAGCGAGAGAGACAGAAGACGTTACGTCACAAGTAAACGAACCCTCGGTACGTACAGGGTAGGGACGGACTCTAGAAGTCGCTTTCAGGGAACACGGAAAAGCCAGCCAATACTCCGATGCACCTTTCGGAGTAGGCGCCCGCAAAGCCACATGCTGGGCTTCACAGCCGATGCAAACAGCCCCGCCACGCCCCGCCAGGCCGGCCTTTGCCGCAGTCCGTGGGAGCGTGACCATGACCGTACATGTGCGACCCGTGAAGCGTGCCGCCGGGGCGGGGCGGGGCGGGGCGGGGCGGGGCGGGGCGCTCTTTGGCGGCGTCGGCACCCCGCCTGACATAGCGGTGACCCCCGCGCCGGACGGGCCCCCAAAGTACACGGTGAATTATTCGGCCGGTCAACATGACACCGAGGTGGCCGTCCTGGCCGTCCCCGTGACGACGTGTCTGACGTGCCACCCGGCCGTGCCGCGCCGCGGCGGCCGCCCTGTCAGCGCCCTGCACGCGTGCACCCCGCAAACGGAAACCTTTTCGTCTCTCTGTCTCTCTCGCACCGGCACGGCGCGCGCCACGAGCGCGACAGAGAGGGGCGACACTATTAGCGCGCATGCATGAATGTATAGAATGCAGAGCAGCGGGGAGGGGGAGGGGGTGCAGGGCGCGGCTGGACCCAAAATAAAAACGTTGCGTGGAGTACGGAGCAAAACCCATTTCAAGCACGTTGACCCCACACACAATAAGGCACTCCTTTGTGTCCACACCACCTCGTTATTTTGGCGCCGGGCCCGCCCCGCCCCGCCCCGCCCCCGGCGACGCTAGACAGACACTGCGGTGGCGGCAGCAAAGTGTCTCAATCCCGAAACAGCACACTCCAGACACCTTCGGCTTCGGCAAGCCGAGCAAAAGGCGTCCGCGGGGACTCGGGGCGGCAGGCACGCCGTCAGGGAGGACGACGACTCCAGCCAACAACTCGCGACGAATAGAAAAGTCGCACCTGCGGGCTGATTCCGAGAGTCGCACTCGTCGCTCTGTCTCTCTCGCACTCGTGGGGCGTCCCGTGCGGGTGCGAGAGAGACAGAGCGACGGAACGACTGTCGTAATCAGTCTGCTGGCGGACGGCGAGACGAGGAAAACGCAGACGGTCGGCACGACGATGACGGCCACCCGGAGCGGCACACCGATTCCGAGAGTCGTTTTCGTCGCTCTGTCTCTCCCGCATCCCTACGGGGCACCCCAAAGAGTGCGAGAGAGACAGAGCGACGGAAACGACGCTCGGAATCAGCCGCCGGCAGGCCGAACCCCAACCGTCGGGCCAGCGTCAACTCGGTCGGTGGGCGTGAATATTTCACCCGGCTGTTTCCGGAGTTTCGCTCTGTTCTCTCGCACCGTGCGCCCTCGCTGCCAGACAGGGAAAACGACTTCGTAATCAGTCTGCTGGCGGGACGGGAGACGCGGCGCCGCATGGTGGCGACGTGGGGCCCCCCAGCGGACACGATTCCGAGAGTCGTTTTCGTCGCTCTGTCTCTCTCGCATCCCTGGGGCCCCGGAAGGTGCGAGGGAGGGCGACGAAACGACGCTCGGAATCAGCCGCTGGCCGCAACCCCCCGTCGGGCCGCCACCGGCGGGGGCTGAATTTCACCGGCGGTCGCGTTTCGCTTTTTGGTCGCCGCCGGTTCCCCAATACGCACAATTTTCAAACGGTTTCGGCTGCGGTGACGGGACCGACGCGCTCTTCTGCATTTCACTCGCCGCCAGCAACTGATCCAACTTTTCCGTCGCTCTGACTCTTGCACTCGTGGGCTCCCGGAAGGTGCAGGGGCACGATAGGACTCTGGGAAATATTCTGCTGGCCAAGACCCCGCAGTCGCCCCCTGGCACGGCACATTACGCGCTCGCTTGTCGCGGGTTCCAATACCAGCGGCTCACACTTTTCTCACTCTTTTTTCTCATTTTTTTCCCGTAACTAATCCACTTCGCCTGTGCGAAGGAACGCGCTCTCCACCACGGCGTATTGACCGGACCAGAACTGTGTCCAAGACGAGCGCGACACTCTCGCTGAGTCATCTTCCTCCCCGAGAGAGAAGACGACTGAAAGCGGCCGAGAGAGAGGGAGGGAGGAGAGAGAGGAGAGAGAGAGAGAGAGAGAGAGAGAGAGAGAGAGAGAGGGGAGGGGGGGGGAGAGAGAGAGAGAGAGAGGAGAGAGAGAGAGAGAGAGAGAGAGAGAGAGAGGGGGAGAGAGAGAGAGACCCCTTCCCTGTCCGGCCGGCCCACACACATGGCATTCAAGCTCGCTCGGCCAGTCGTGACCTTCCATCACTGGCTAGAAAATGTCGACCTCCCCCCCCCCCGAATTCCCCCTTCCCCTCCCCGGCTATTCTCAACGTGTGATTCCGCGATGGCGACCATGAATAGCGACGACCCGAATTCTCAAGTTGATTGGCAGCGCCAAGCGCTTGAAACGCTCCAAATGGGCGGCCATTGACTGTGCAGTCAAAGGCGCCCCCCCCCCCCCCGCCTCCTCCAACCCACAGGCGGGACAAGTTTGGCGCGCAATCACTTAACAGTCGAATTAATCACCGAGTCAGACCTACAGAGTTGAGGAAGCCGTCATAATTTGATTCGTTAATTTAATGAAACAATTAGGAGAAATATGGATGTCCGATAATGCGGCGCCGACTTTGATGAGAACACAACAGAGAGCGGCCTGTCAGGTCAGGTTACACACACTCACACGTGGACACACGTGCATGCAAAACATGTATACACATACACACACATACACGTAAACACACGCGGCATGGGGGTGGGGGTGCTCTAAGCATATGATTCGGATTTTCGGATTCCATCAATACCGAATGGCGGCAACAACCCCCCAGTTCCCAGACGTGCATTAGCGCGTTCTCGTCAAATACTGCGGTGGAGGGACGGCGGCCCACGGACAGCCTCTGTGTTTTCGTTGGGTGTGTGCGCGCGTGAGTGTTTGAGGGCGCGCGCGGGCGGGGGGCAGGTCAAGATCGACTGTCAACACGACGGACGACGCGGAGGACGCGGAAGACAAGCAGAATGGAGGCGAGGAGGGGCCGGAGGGGCGCGGGCCGTGTGAGCGTTGAGGTTAGGCTGCCGCCCGCGCTCTGCTGCCAGGCCCGCCAGCGCGCCAACCCGCCAGGGCCACGCTCGCTGCGAAGCGCGACGCGCGCCAACGGCGCCAACGGGCGGCCGCACAGTCAATATTTACAAACGCAGCCCCTCTGCGCTCCGCCTCTCGTCCGAGCAAACGGACTGCCGACGGCCGCGCCAAGTGGCTGCCGTCCGCCATCCAGCACTCCGGGGCGTCCGGACCTCGCGGGCTTACCTGGTGTTCCGTGTGCCGATGCGATCCGCAGAGTCCGCTCAGTCCGTCCGTCACAGTGCCGTGGAGAGAGTCACGCGGGGGCAGGGCCACCGCCGGCCAGGCAGGGCCGCTGGTCCAGGGCGGTCCGGGACCAGGGTGCACTTGACGTGGGTCGGGAGACGGACCGGGCGAGCACGCTGCGTGCCGGGGGAGCCTCGGGGGTGCACGGCCGGGGACTGGGGCTTGCTGGGGCTCGGGTGTGCCGCTCGCCGCACCAGCCACGACTGAGGGCGGCCCGCCCCCGGCCCGCCCCCGGCCCGCCCCCGGCCCTCCCGCCGCCCAGAGGGCGTAGCGTGGCGTAGCGTGGATAGCGACCCCCCTCCCCGCGCGCGCTGCGCTAGCGTACCAGGCGAGGAGGAGGGGATCGATACACTCCAGCGACACTCCTATCCGCGGGCCTGCCGCGGGCCTGCCGCGGGCATGGGCAGGTTCAGCCCCCCTCACCCCCTCCCGCCCTTTCCAATCCCGTCACCACTACTACAACCCTGAATACTACGGCCCCTACTACGGCCAGCCCGGCAGTGCAGCCGCACCCGCCCCTGCCCTTTGCCCCCCACGTCGCCGAGCCCCACCACCACGGGGCGCGCGCTGCCCGTCTCGCGGCCACTTCCGCTTGTCGTATGCATCCCCCTCACACACACACTCACACACGTCCTCATTCAACCCAGTGCACTTCTCACATTATTTCTGCCTCGCCTCGTGGTGCCCCACGAGTGCCGACCGCGACTCGCGTGCCGCGGTTTCGCCCGCTGCTTGCACACTGGACTCTCCCTTTCCCCCATCGAGCATTCAACATTCATCGCCGCCTACCTGCCGAGCCATTCCGAAGATCGGTTCGTCGCTCTGTCTCTCTCGCACCCTCCCGTATAGCCCCATGAGAGCGAGAGAGGCAGAGCGACGAAAGGGCTCGGCTGTCCTTGCATCTCGCCGCCCTTGCCCTTGTCCGGTCGGACTCCAGGCGGACTTCGATCGGATCGCAGTGTCTCGCGCGGCGGAACGGATTGCACAGCGTTGCTTGTCGTTTGCACAAACAGTGCAGGCCCGGACCTCCAGACCGATCAGTATCACGATTTTCAAATTTCTAAAGAATAGACCATTCTAGCCGTCGTTCCGGTTTTGTGATTCTTCTTGTTCTTCAGTCGGCGACGACTAGAATGGTCTATTTGAGGGACAAGTGAAGGAACTTGATAGATTGTTGAAGCATTTGTGCAAAGCTTACCTTGGCAGACACTGCGGTGTGGCAGAGAAAGATGGAGAGTACATTTCTTCGAGGAGACAGCCCTTCACAGAGCAAAACATCTATGAAAAGATCTTTTCACAAAGTGATCGGTAAAGTCGGTTTAACTAATTCAAATTCAAACCACGGAATGTGCGGTACGGAAACGACAGGTTGTGCTTGCCCTTTGGCCAACCAAACTTCTGAGCGTCGCATTTTCATTACCATTCAAAAGTAAATTTTAAATTCACAGCATTCATTTTTAAAACGTAAGAATGAATTTCACTTGTGTTTTGGTCTTTACTCGACTTCTAGAGTGATAAATTGTGTCTGTAACATTTCTATTTTTTGTATTAGAGGTTGGCAGCGATGAGCCCTGTACAGGTTGCTCCGCCATTTTGTGAGGCGGCGGTGACTGTGACAAGTGAGTCACGACCACTTACAAACAACCAACACCAACAACGGACCGTCACCCAATGTTTTGGTAGAAGTTAGAGGTCTGTATTTATGTTTAGCACTGGCGGGGAAGCTTAAAGATCAGCAAATATCTATACTTGGCTCAACTATTTTTTTCTGTTCCTGGCCATACTCCTTTTGAGTGATTAGGCCCAGTTTTGTGTCTTTTCTAACCTGTAGGCGGAGTGCCACTCCCATCTCAATAACTTGATCAGGAATTTCTCACGATTCAAAACTGATTTTATTAAGATACTAAGGGTTTACTTTTATTTTGGACCCTATTGATCTGTATATTACAAAGCATTGCAGTCAATATTCTTTTACTTTGATTCTCTCCTGCCAAATCACTATTATTGTTTTTCTATTTTGCTCTCAGTTGCAACTTATTCTTTTATAAATCCTTTGATCTCTGGAACTGAAATTGTGACCTCCTGGTTTTGCATGTTGCAGAAGTACCAGTCATGGACAGGCTGGTATGGGTAGTTGTTACCCTCTCCATCGTTGGTGGTCAGATTCCACCGAACCCGCCACCTGGAGGGTTTCCTGTAGGGCCACCTGTTGGCCCGCCCATTGAACCTCCACTTGGGCCCCCTCTTGGGCCCCCGCTTGGTCCTCCCCTCGGACCCCCTCTTGGACCCCCATTGGGTCCCATTGATCCAATTGGACCGGCTGGCTTAAACAATTTTGGCCCTGAATTGCTTGAGTGGAGGTGTCCACAGCACTGGATCCAATTCCAAGGGTCCTGCTACAGATTCATCAAATCACCCATTCGGCCAAGAGTTGAAGCCAGGAGGAATTGTCAAGTATGTTTTCTGTTCTTGGTTCTTGTTTTCAAAATACTCAATAAGAATTTCCCTAAATTTTGCGTCTCCTTTCTAGGCGTACCACTATCAAGCTGATTTAGTCAATATTAATAGCTTAGAAGAGCACGGCTTTTTGCTCAATCAATTGAATATTCAAGATCCGCAACGTAGAAGATGGTATACCAGTGGATTTCAACAGCAGCCAAATTTTTGGATCAATGAAGGTGATGGCACCAACATTGTGAATTTGGAAGCAGCTTTCCTCCCTCAGCCTCCACCTGATCAACCACCATACATCAGAGATTTTGTCGCATACAGGTGTGTATAATTATTTGATTTTTGTTTCAGTTAGAAGTTTAATCCTGTGTTGGAATTAACCAGCTCTGTTTAAAACATGTACTTAATTTTCAGTTATTCACCAAATCTGATGAGATGGGGATTCGAACGAGTCAGCGGTCTTGAACCTCTGCTTTACATCTGTGAAGCTCCTATTGGCGCCCTCCGAGCTCTCCTAGAAGATGATCGTACCTACACATATGGTGTTGATGTTGATGATCCTCTTTTAGTTCCTAGAGGTCCAATCTTTATTCGCCAACCCAAGGATGTTGTATTTGATTTGTCAAAAAGGAAGCTTGCTAATGATGTTACACTAAGGTATTTTATAATTCAAATTGTACCTGTTGTACCTGTTTGTATGAAGCAAAAGACTAAAAAAAATCTTTGTTGCAGCTGTTTGGCAGCTGGTTATCCGACTCCGTCATATGAATGGTTCAAAGAAGATTATGAGAATGATATACTTCGTGAATCTCTCATTGACCCTCTTCAAGACAATCGTTTTACTATCAGTGGTGGTTCCCTAATTATCTATAACCCTAATCAGGTAAGGATTCTTTTACTTTGCCAAAATGACAGCAATAAATAGATAAGCATTAACACAATGCATCAAATTATAGATTACAGATCGTGGTACCTACCATTGTAAAGCAACTAACAAATTTGGAACCATCGTATCTGAAAGTGTGCAATTGTCTTTTGGGTTCATTGGAGAATTTAATTTGAAAAGATCGCCTGAGTATGGTGACAAGAACTGGGGTAAAACTATGTATTGTGATCCACCACAGTATTTCCCAGGTAATCATCTTTTCTGTTCCCTTCTTTTTCCAAATTTGAGAAAGTCAAGATAAGTCATTAATTAAATCCACCTAACTCATATTTTGAATTCCTTTTCAGGTGTAACATTCTATTGGGCTCGTGACTACTTCCCTAATTTTGTTGAAGAAGATAGAAGAGTGTTCTCCTCATATGATGGATCCCTCTATTTTTCTGCTCTTGAAAATATTGATCAAGGCAGTTACAGTTGCAATGTCCAAAGCAAAGTTTCCGACACTGGACGTAACGGTCCTTTCTTTAAATTAAATGTTCGCCCTCATCCTAATTTCCAACAGCTGAAGTTCCCCAATAACTTTCCTAAAGCTTTCCCAGACGCCATAGTTGCAGGGCATGAAGTTAGACTTGAATGTGTAGCATTTGGTTACCCTGTTCCATCCTACAATTGGACCAGAGTTAATGGCAACCTCCCCAGGGGAGCTTATCTGGCCAATTACAACAGAGTTTTGATCATTCCAAGTGTGCAAGTGGAAGACCAGGGAGAATATGTGTGTCGTGCAAACAACGATCGTGCAGCTATAACCAATACTGTTACAATTAGTATCCAAGGTAATTGGCCACCTGTTATACAGACATACAGTACCCAGAAATTATTGGTGTTAGCTTTCATGCATCTCTTCCTTTTTCATTAACTGACATTTTGTATATCCCTTTCAGCTGAACCAAACTTCACTGTTCCACTTATGGACAAACACATGGATTATCAGGGAAATCTGACTTGGACCTGTGAAGCATTCGGTATACCAGATGTAACTTATTCATGGTTGAGAAATGGAGTTGAGCTGAATGTCAACCGTCTACCTCCTGAAGATTGGGGACGGTACCACATCCAAGATAATGTGCTATCCATAAGTCATCTGGACCCTCAACGTGATCAGGCTATGTATCAGTGCCGTGCCCGGAACCAATTGAGAACACGCTATTCTTCTGCGCAGTTGAGAGTGTTATGTAAGAGCATTTGACATGACTTTGACATTTATCTTAGTGTTACCTTTCTTCAGTGAAACTAAATTTATTTCATGCCTTGCTACAGCTCTTCCACCATCTTTCAAAAAGCGGCCATTAGAAGCTGAAACCTATGCTGCTGAGGGTGGCAATGTGACAATGCGTTGCAACCCAGAAGCAGCTCCAAGACCGAGGTTCATCTGGAAAAAGAATGGCAATGTTCTTGGTATGTTTCTTGTCATGAAAATCTCATCCATTTAAAATATTTCAGTTCTTAATTTTGATTAATGTTTTGTGGCAGGGAGTGGAGGGCGTCGTATCATCTTAGAGAATGGAAATATGGTCATCAAGCCTGTTTCTAGAGATGATGAAGGAACTTATTCGTGCACAGCAGAGAACCGTTATGGCAGAGATATTGGCTATGGACGTCTTATAGTTATGCGTAAGTTCTTAAAACAAATCAACTTTTTGTTTTAAATGAGGTAAATTAGAGCACTTTTTATAGTATTAAATTCATTTTGATTTCTAGGTGGGCCTCGTTTCATCCGCACCATGCCTCCTCAGTTTGTAACTACTGAAGGCTCAGATATTGCATTGTCTTGTGATGCCTTGTCAGATGAGATGCTTGATGTAGCTTATATTTGGACCCACAATGGACTCCGTATTCGAGATGAAAGGAATCAGCAGATACGTATTGTAAGTTTGCTTTCCTGTGTTACTGTTGCATTTATACTTGTTTCAACCTTGTTCATTTCTAACCCATCTATCACATTTTAATTTTTGTTGCAGAAAGTGGATGGAAATCTATTAGCCATTCGGAATGCCTCCATTGCTGAAGGTGGTGACTATGAGTGTATTGTAAAAAGTGTTGTTGGAAGAATTGTCACCCGCACTCGAGTCATTGTAGAGGGTCCTCCAGGTCCCCCTGGTATGTTGTCTGCCAGTGTGCAAGCCTTACTTCCATTTACAATTTATATGTTTGCTCTTTTGAAACTCTTGAACTTCCTTCTTGTTATATTTAGTTTGTAATTTGTAACTCCAATTTTTTTTCTCCCAGGTGGTGTGCAAGTTGTGGATATTAAAAAGACATCTGCAACGATTCAGTGGACAGATGGTGCACCAAATGGTCAACCTATATATGTGTATATTGTTTCTGCTCGCACAATTTATAATGATACATGGCTAAACATCACCAGAGGTTTGTAGTTTTCTTAACCTACCGGTAGTTTAAAATTTATTTTTTACATAAAAAAAACTTATTTTTCAAGTTTTTATTTGCTATTGTGAAAGATGTGGGTTTGTAATGAGATGAATTTCCTTGTTCTAGATGTGCGAGCAAAGGAAATTGATCGATACAATGGAAGAAAACAGTTTGAGTTGGAGGGCATGCTCTCACCTGGTTGCACATACGAGTTCAGAGTGGCCGCTGCTAATTCTCTTGGCTATGGAATCTTCTCAAGCCCCAGTCCACAGTATCGCACACCTCCTGATCGTCCTTACAAATTCCCATCCAAAATTGGTGGTGGGGGTGGAAAAATTGGAGACCTTACAATCAGATGGACTGTAAGTATATTTTTGTTGGGTAGAAGTACTTGATACATACTTGTAAATTTGATACTTATGATAGATTTTCAATTATTTTTCAGCCATTACCTCCTCAAGATCATAATGGTCCAGGCATTTACTACAAAGTGTTTTGGCGAAGGACTGAGCATGACACAGAGTTCCAATCTCTTGCTCTTAAAGATCAAGGCAATATTGGCATGGCTGTTGTAAGAATTCAGAGTGAACATTTCTATACACGCTATGATGTTAAAGTACAAGCAGTAAATGATATTGGTTATGGACCTGAATCAAAGATGACCACCATCTTCTCTGCAGAGGATATGCCCCATGTCGCCCCTCAACAGGTTTCAGCACGGTCATTCAATTCGACCGCACTTAATGTAACTTGGCAGTCGGTCGATCAAACTCGCGAGAAGATCAGAGGAAAATTGATTGGATACAGGGTGAGCAAGTTCTTTCCACAAAAGTTGAATCCTATCAGGAAGTATTGCAGATTTTGAAAATGTCTGACACATTCATTTTTGCAGTTGAAGTACTGGATAAAGGATCAGAAAGAAGAGGATGCCGTGTATTACCTCAGCAGAAGCACTAATCCATGGTCTCTGATAGTTGGTCTGATACCTGATACGTACTACTTTGTCAAGGTCATGGCTTTTAATGCTGCAGGAGAAGGTCCCGAGAGTGAACGTTACATTGGTTTGTTACTTATTATACTGATGATTTTTTTCTTTACTTTCGTCTTTGCCTTTTCTCTATCTTTGTTAACTTTTTTCTGTTATCAACAGAGAGGACATTCAGGAAAGCACCACAAAAGCCTCCTTCATCAGTCCATATATCTGGCATCAATCCATCCACAGTGCATGTTATTTGGCGATATGTTGCTCCTAGTTTGGATGAAGAACCAGTGTCTGGTTACAAGGTGGGTTGTGGCTTGATGGTTAAATTCCTATTGCGGTCAATTCTTATCACTGCCAATATAACAGATTTGCTACTGTATATTTTTACCAAAAAAGTCTTTTCACTGGTATCTGCAGTTAACAATGCCTAAATCATTTTCTCAACAGGTCAGAGTCTGGGAGAAGGATCGGGATATGAGCACAGCTAACGATACTATAATACCAGTGGGACAGAATCTGAGGGCATACATAACTAATCTGTCACCTGGTAAAAGTTACCACATGAGAGTTCTTGCATATTCTAATGGAGGTGATGGGAGAATGTCATCTCCTGTCATAACATTCCAAATGGGTAAGTAATTTCTTTTTCCGATAAATTTTGTTCCTTCTTTTTTTATCATTTTTTTATTAATCACTTTGTCTGTTTTCAGGTGACCAAGAAGTGTTAAGAAGTGATGCTAGCACCACCACTATGTGTCTTTGGAGTGTAATTTCTGTCGTGTTAGTTCTAGTATTTTCAGTACTTCCTGTAGATTTGAATTGAAAAATGATCTGAACAATTTTTATGCAGCCGTCCATAGTATTCCACATGACCTTATTTTATGTGGGATCAGTGATTTTTTTATCTCTATCTGTTTTGTATATTTTGGCAGTTTTTGCTAAGTACTTAGGAAAGCAGGATCACATCCTGATTGTCACACTTATTTATCAAACACCTGAGGTAGAAGCTCATTTATTTAGTACTGCAGTAAGATCTTATGTATGTAATGAATGAAAGTTGTGAAGGATGAGTTTATTACTAAGGAAAAATTAGTCATGATTCATTTTGTGAGGAAAGTATGTCACTTATTATTTAAGTGATCTCAGCAATGGTACATTTATCATGGGGTGAATAGTTGTTAAATGGGATTTCTCATTTGCAATTTTTTCACCATACCCATTTTAAAATATTTTCTACTTGTTCTTTTAAAACACTTGATAATACAGTTCCATTGCATTCAAATACCAATGCAAAGCATATCTACTTAATGTTTTGATTTTATTTATGACAAAGGATTTGTTTTTGAACTTACGTGAGCAAGTTTTCAGTTTTACACTCTCTTGCTCCTCCTTGGCAAGGTGGCCTGCAATGATACCTCTGTATCCCGAAGTAGTCTGTGATGCTGGACCACCTCCATACATGACAGATGGTAAAAACAACAGCCATTGAGGGGATACGTTGAAAATTATCTCTCTCTTTCTTAATGTTGAAACTGAAAGTTTGTGAATGTTATGTTCTTGTTCCGTCCGTTATTGTTGCTTTTTTTTTTTCATTGATGTGTTGGATATTTTTTTAAAATCAATTTCTGTACCTAGATGAATTTTATTTACTTAGGTTTACAAAATGTGCCTTAATGATTTTATTGTAGTTAGTAGTTTAGGGAGATTAAGAATACTCAGTCCAGATTTACCATAGCATAATGTATTGCACAAGTAGTAGTTTGGTTTAGTTAAGAATGACACCTGCCAATCTTATGTTGTTGGTAATTACAATTACCCATGTGACCAGTACAAAGCACATTTCTCTTTTGACTTACTGGTATTCTTCTCTGTCATTAATGCTTTCTTTGTTAAAGAAAACAATTTTCTAACAAAATCAGTTTTTATGTTATTCTAGAATTTGTATATTTTCTCTTCATTTGATTATTTCAATGTTGCTGTCAGGTACAAAACTGTATGGTTTGTCTTTTTAAACATCTTGAAAGACTATTTGTCTGAACTTTTTTTTATGGACATTTGATATATTTTATTGGTTTAGCAGTAAGTGGAATATTAGTGGCCATGCCTGACTTTTGACTCTGCATGCTGTAAGATAAAAATTTTGTACCCTTTTATACAGAAATGGAGATCTATGATATTCTCTTTGAGATGGTATTTGTATCAGTGATCCAGTGTGATGTATTGATCATTTCTTCAAGCACAAAATTTCTCATATTACCTGTGATTGGCCTGTTTCTAACATTCCCCCGAAACATCCGTCCTTTGACATTGTGACTTGTCGGTTTTATACTACCATTCCATTTTTTTATAAGAATAAAGTTGGTTTTACAGAAACAAATGTTCTACATGACTTTGTTGGTTGAAAAGCCCCCAGTTGCACGCACCACCCAGGCACGCAGTCCAGAACCCCCAAGTGAGGGGCAAACAACTTGGTCAAAATTTGTACACCGTTATTTCACGTCATTGCATTGTGATTTCATCGTTATTTCACGTCATTTCACGTTGTTTCGCGTTATTTCAACGTTATTTTAAGGCGAAAGGACACCAAAATTCAAGTTGTTTGCCCCATGCCCCCAAGTCCTGGAGAAGGGTAGGGGAACGAGAAACTAGGAAAATTTTGAAAGCAAAGTGGCGCTTGCACCCCCTCGCCTCCCTCCCCTACGCAGTCAGGGGCCTGCCCGCCCTGCCTGAGGTCACTAATGCCCGACAGGAAGCAATCAGCCCTTGGCCGACCCCACCCTCGACCCCACCCGCGGGCCGCGGCGGGGCGCCTCCGAAGCGGAGGGTCTCTAGGCCTGCCCTCCTCCTCGTCCCTCGCGAGGGTGGACTCCAGCAGGCGGAGTGCGCCGGCGTTCGCACGCACCCGCAGGGGTTGATGGCCCTCGGCACCCCGAGGCACCCACAGTGGGCCAGAAGACCGGTGGAGGTGGCCAAAACTCTAGACGCGTTTTGAGCTCCAGAGTCGCTAAATGGGACTCGAACCGAGCGTGTGACCCCACCAATGGATTCCTCGTTCGGAGAGTAATCCATTGGTGGGGTCACACGTTCGGTTCGAGTCCTGTTTAGCGACTCTGGAGCTCAAAACGCGTCTAGAGTTTTGGCCGCCTCCCCCGGCCCTCTGGCCCACTGTGGCACCCCAGCCCAGCCAGCCCAGCCAGCCCAGCCCCTAGCTTGTAGCGCACTGCCGTGTTGACCTTATCTCTGCCGTGCCTTGGCCTGGCCTGCCATCGACCCGGCAGGGAAATTCATTCACCATAGCCGCGTCCCGTCCGCATTACCCTGTCGTTTCGTCTCGGCCTCAACATACATGGTGACATGCCAACAGAACCATTTCCAGAATTTTCTATAGTTACACTTATGTCAGCCGACTGATTCCGAGAGTCATTTTCGTCGCACGGTCTCTCTCACGTTCATGGGGCGTCCCGTGAGGCGAGAGAGGAAGAGCCAGAGCGACGAAAACGGCTGTCGGGATCAGTCTGCTGGCTTGAAGAAGTTTCAGTTCGACGGAACTGCGGTTCTTGACGGGAAGCGTTGATTCCACCCAAAGTCGATTTTGACAAAGTCGAAACGGCCAGTGGGTTGCAATTATCAAATATTATTCACAAAAATAAAGTGTCCAGTCGCGGAAAGCACGCGTCACTTTAGGCCTTGGATCCTTCGTGGAGGCGAAAACGGCTTGGGGGGCGTGGCGGGTGGCGGGGCGTGGCAGGTGGAATCGCACCTGCCTGCCTGCCTGCCCGCCTAGCGCACGGTGCAGCGCCGCGGCACGCGCGCGCCGTCTGCCGTCCTCTTCTCTCTGCACGCACCTGCTCGTGCCGACGACGACGTCGCGACACTACAAAACCGGTGCGGACTCCTGGAGAGACTCCAAAGAGCCTCCAACGCTCCAGAAAACCTCCAACGCCCCGGAAAATTCGCAATCGAATGCGTTTTCCCGTTGCTGCGGTTCGAGAGTTATTTGGGCTTAAAATCGTCTTTGCTCCAAGCCCCATGCGTCCACTAGACCGCCCACATTACCTGAGATTACCAACCGTGTAAGATACTTCGCTGCAGTGATCGATCGCTCTGTCTCTCCGCACCTGTGAGGGACGCCCTAATGAGTGCGAGAGAGACAGAGCGACGAAAACGACTCTCGGAATCGGCTTGCAAGTAGGACCCACCTCAAAGGGATGGCCGGACTGCACTCCGAATCAAAAATTTAGCCCCTCAGAGGAGGCATGTCCCCGCTCATCGGAAGACGTTGACGCCGCCAGCACCTTTGCCCAATGCTATCCAACCGTAGCCACAACCGAGAGGTAGTCCGTGAAAACGATGCTAGCGCCATCTAGCGGATGATCCTTCAGAAGAAAGAAATAGCAGTTTACGGCTTAAATGTATGTACACTCTTGAGTTTGTAGTATTCCATGGTATGACGTATTCTTTGAGCTTTAATAATGCTGAACTAATTACGAAAGTTTGAGCGGAAATCGATATCGAATCGACATCGATTCGATGTTACATTTTTGACTAGCAAAATGTCGACAAAAATCAGTGTCGAAATATGGGAATTTTCGATGCTTATTTCGACCTCACCGGATTGTCGATTGCGTAGACGTCGAATCGACTTCTTTTCGAATGTTCATTTCTGGCTGGGTATGCTGTAAATAAGTGTGTACTTGGAAGCATGCTCTAATAAGAGTGTACTATGTACACACTTCAGTTTGCAGAGTTGACGGGAAGCGTTGATTCCACCCAAAGTCGATTTTGACAAAGTCGAAACGGCCAGTGGGTTGCAATTATCAAATATTATTCACAAAAATAAAGTGTCCAGTCGCGGAAAGCACGCGTCACTTTAGGCCTCTGGATCCTTCGTGGAGGCGAAAACGGCTTGGGGGGCGTGGCGGGTGGCGGGGCGTGGCAGGTGGAATCGCACCTGCCTGCCTGCCCGCCTAGCGCACGGTGCAGCGCCGCGGCACGCGCGCGCCGTCTCGCCGTCTCTCTGTCTCTCTCGCACGCACCTGCTCGTGCCGACGACGACGTCGGCGACACTACAAAAACCGGGGTGCGGACTCCTGGAGAGACTCCAAAGAGCCTCCAACGCTCCAGAAAACCTCCAACGCCCCGGAAAACTTCCAACGAATGCTGTTTTTCCCGTTGCTGGGGTCGGAATTTTTTGGGCTTTCGTTCTTTGCTCCAAGCCCCCATGCGTCCACTAGACCCGCACCACATTACCTGAGATTACCAAAACGGTGTAAGTACTTCCGCTAGCAGTGTCGTCGCTCTGTCTCTCTCGCACCTGTGAGGGACGCCCTAAGAGTGCGAGAGAGACAGAGCGACGAAAACGACTCTCGGAATCGGCCTGCAAAGTAGGACCCACACCCTCGAGAGCACGGAGTAGCGCCGCGCCGGTTCGAATCCTCTCGTTTGTCCACAGTAAAGCAACACCCATTCCTCATTACACTTCGATCGCTGAGTGCATCTAATAGTGATGGCATTGCCCAGAAAAGGCCGCACTGCCGCTATCTCCGACGAGTGGCCGAGTGGCGGCACTTGAAGGACCACTTGGGGCGACCACACGTCGCACAGTGGGCCAGAAGACCGATGGAGGCGGCCAAAACTCTAGACGCGTTTTGAGCTCCAGAGTCGCTAAATGGGACTCGAATCGAACGTGTGACCCCTGATGAAAACGGAGCGTAAACGAAGGATGAACGGGGAGGTAAAACGAAGCATAAACGAAGGACGAAAGTAAACGCTTGTATCGGCGGAGCTTAAACGAAGGATAAGGCTTCGAGACCATCGGAGCATAAACGAAGCTTGAACGAAGCATAAGGCTTCGAGGCCATCGGAGCGTAAACGAAGCTTGCACGAAGCATAATCGGAGTGGCAATGGGCAAAAGGAACAGACCGGCGAGGCTACCTCCTGTCGATTCTCCGAGCCTGGTGCCTCGTTCGTCTCATCCACGCGCGGGGAGTGCCGAAAGTGATGCTGGTAGTAGTTTTGAACCCACGACGCCGCCTCGGAGCACTTTAAAGCTGAAGACGCTGCCAACTGCGCCACGGAGGATGTCTGGGGAGCATGCCTCACACAGCACCTGACTATCTGAGCGAGAGTGTTCTCCGGGCCCACCCCCGGCTGGGGTCACTGGAGGGGGAAGGGCTGCAACATGGTTCGGCCTCAGAGCCAAGTCCTTGCCATTTTGTCTAAGTGTCGCTGGAAGCGTAAACGAGGAGGTATTGGGGAGTTGACGAAGAGGTCAGCCCACGGAGCGTAAACGAAGGAGAGTGCTTCCTTCGTTTAAGCTTCCCCGGTCGAAAGGAAGCATGAACGGAGTGGTACGGAGCGTAAGTGAAGATGTCAGCCGCGGAGCGGAAACGAAGAAAACGCCACCTTCGTTTAGGCTTGCCCTGACAGGAGGGAAGCATGAACGGAGTGGTATCGAAGAGGAAACGAAGCGGTCAGGCACGGAGCATAAACGAAGGAGGAACCACCTCCGTTTAGGCTTCCCCTGCCAGGAAGGAAGCATAAACGAAGAGATTGAAGCGTAAGCGGAGCACTACCTCTTCGTTCATGCTTCGCTCACGCTTCGTTCATGCTTCCAGGCTCCAAACGTTATCCTTCATTTTCATCAGGGACCCCACCAATGGATTCCTCGTCCGGAGAGCACTCCATTGGTGGGGTCACACGTTCGGTTCGAGTGCGATTTAGCGACTCTGGAGCTCAAAACGCGTCTAGAGTTTCGGCCGCCTCCACCGGTCTTCTGGCAAACTGTGGCGCGTCCCACCATGGGTCAAGTGCTGCAATGCAAGCCGCCCCGTTCCGAACGGTGCCATCCTCGCTCTGTCCCTCTCTCACTGCCCAGGAAAGCGTCGCGCAGCACTGTGCGAAAAAACCACAGTGAACACTGCAAATGCAAAGGCGATACTAAAGTACATTTTTTGGCGATACAATTGAGTATCGCTAATAAACGGCCTTACGGAAAAGTATTGCCCTCAGAACGGCGATACAAAAAAGTATCGCCAATATTTGGCAATACTTTTGGATATTGCCAAAACCACGGCATTAAACCAAGGTCTTGTCCCCTTGATTTGTTCGACGTATACTGCCAAATCGTGGCAATACTCCAAAGTATCACCAAATTTTGGCGATAGTTTTCTGTATCGCCGTTATGAAGGCAATACTTTTCCGTAAGGCCGTTTATTGGCGATACTCAATTGTATCGCCAAAAAAGGTACTAAAAGTATTGCCTTTGGATTTACAGTGAGTCCCGTTCATTTTTGGGCCGGGATTTACTGTAGTTCAGAACACAGGATTTACCGTGCCTGGCTACAGTATCTACTGTACCTGGTACAGGATATTCC